TCTCCCTACTCATCTGGGCCCTACTCATCTGGGGTCCCCCTACCAGCTGTGCAAGCAGGCTCTAAGTGCTGTTCCCCCCACCAACAACAGCTAATGGTTGTTCCGCTTCCCCCGAGCCGAGATGGGGTACTTAGAGTAAAGCTTAGAAGTTAGACCATTTCCGCTGAGGGGTTCTTGAATGCTTATACGTAGTGTTTTTGCTGGCCACTCCTACATCTTGCTGGTTTTTTGCACTATAAGGCCTTCCCACTGCTGAGCGTTTGCTTTGCCAGAACTTCGTGTCATTCCATGGAAATGTCTTGCAGGGCAGGCGGAACGGCAGGCAGCAGGATAGTTCTTGTCTATTCCTTCTGCTCTGGGCACTTCCCAGAAACAAGGCAATGGCATTGCGCAAATGCTTTCCCGCACAAAATGTGCGTGGAGTCTAAAATAATTCAAACTCTGGGTCTAGCTCAAGAACGTTTTTAGGGAAAACGAGGCTCTTGCATGCATTGAAATATCTTAACACACTCATCACTGTAGTGTACGCTCAGTGCTTATCCTTGTCAGTGCGGATTTTCTTTTACAAATATACACGCCTTTATGTCCCTGTGTCATTGCCCTGTTATCCTTGCTGAGTAATTCATTTATTCCCTGCTAAATGACAAACCGTTTCTTTCTCATTATTTAAATGAGAAATCACATTTTTATTTGCAAAGTATACTTTGACAGCTCAAGGTGAAAATTACCATGTCGGATCAGACGGACATAACAATTGGAACCCTACAAAGCTTTGAAGCATTCTGTTGTTATGATACAACTGTAATAAGCACGTTTGTAAAACCAAAAGAAAGAAGAGTTGAACGTTTTAAAGCCAAATGTTCCAGCTATAGCAGTCTAAATGGTGTGAATTCTAGAACTGATTATCTCTGGCTTTTTAGAGAACTTGAAATCCTTCCAGACTATGATTGCTGGGCTCTTTTGACTTATCCGCAGAATAAGTAAGGTGTCTGTGTCTTATGCAGAGCTGGGTCACACTCTGTTGAACTTAGCAACCTTCCCAGATGCTACTAAACAGTACCAAGACCCTAGGCTGAAATCCTGGTCCAGCAAAGTCAGTGGGAGTTTGCCATTGATTTCCATAGGGGTCAGAATTTCACCTTCATGCATTTTTTGTTGTTGTTATGCTGACTTCCTCTTCTTCCATGTTATAGAGCCTCTCTTCAATTTGATGGACACCCAGTCTGCATGAGAAACTTTTCCTTGAGGTCCTTGTGCTCCTTCAAGTTTTCTCATGAAGTCCTCCCCTTGTTTGCTCCAAGACTTCTTTTTTTTTTTCAGTTCCTATTTTTCCCATCTCACGAAAGGACTTGTCATAATTATATGGCATCTAGGGATGCTTTGCTTTCTATTTTCTAAAATACATAAATTAACATGCAAATATTTTCTTCCCTGTGTCTACAGTGGTGTGTGCGCTTTTTTATCTATTTTTCTCTAGAGACATTCATCACTGGCATTGGCTTGATGTTCCTAGTACCTTGCTAGGGCTTTAACCTACACCACCAGGTTTCAAATATATGTGAGTATGTGTGTACATTTATATGTATGTATTTTAAATTAAAATTGGATTTAAATTTAATCTTTCTTTAAAAAAATAAATCTGAGCTGACTGTTATCTAATGAAATCTATTTAAAGATATGCGAGCCATGTGTGTTGTTTGAAATTGGTGAAAGTCAACGGTTAAACCCCTGGAACCAGAGGTCATTGAAGTGATTAAACTGGTTTTGAAGAGCAGTAGCCCATTTCAGCTTAACTAGTTCAGTTGAATGGGCACCTAATTTAGGGATGACAAACCAACTGGCAGTGGAAGAAGTAGGAAAGCGTCTTTAGTCTTTGCATAGAAACAAAATGTGAGAGGAAACTGGTCCTAAAATCTCAAAGGACATGGTGACCAGAAACAAACAATTCAGTTCATTACCTACAGATAATACTTCCTTTGTTTAATAAATCTGCAAATTATAAATAGAAACCATGTTTAGATAAACTCTTTTTTTCCTTATGGATCCATCACGCTGTTTAACTCAAAACCCACAAAAAGCAGCATTTAAAAATGTTTTTTATTGATTGAATCCCAATTTCCATCCAAATGCAGCATGATATAAATTATGGTAAAAAGTAATCATGATATGGAAATCATATACTATATGTATCATTCACTATATTCTGACATAAAGTAAAAATCAAGAGCCAATGTATTAAGCTGCATAATAGCTTATTAAATGTGTATGGATACAGCATATGCTCCTTTTTATCTGAAAAAAATTCCAGCTTGAATGTGAAAGCTATATTTAGTTTGCAGCTAACAGATTTTATTAGTTAACAACCAATTAGAATCAAGTTCTCTTTAGGAAAATAGCTACAAATTGCATAAGCTTGTAGGTTTAAATAATGATTTGACTAGGTGATTTAAATATTCACTTTGCATGCTACCACCTTAGCCTCCCAAAGTGATTTTTTTTCCAGTTATATATTTGGTGAAGACATGGGAGATAATCAGGACTGCAGGCACTCATCTCCAACATTGATTCCTGTTGCTCAAGATAAGAAATGCAGAATGGAAACAAGGAGTGTCAATGGTGCTAAGTAGATTAGAAGTAATCAAGATTAAAAATTTAACAGTCTAAATGGCTGTTGTAGTATTGATGAAGGAATGTCTTTATAGGTTTCAAGTTGACCAATATGGGTGTGTACACAGGTGTGTAACTTTCTGATAGTTAAACTGACTTAACTTTTTTAAGACGACTTAATGGTCAGAGCATACACACGTACATGGAGCAGAGTTGACTTTAAATGTGGTGCAAGTTAATACATCTCCGAGGTGTATTATCTTGAGTTGCATTAGTTAAGTTGACCTAGCTCACAAGATGGCTGCTGCCACGTGAAGGAGCTGTATGTGTGTATGCTCTGATGTGGCTTAAGTTAAATCGACTTAGTGAATTTGCCTTATTTTAAAATGACTTAGTATGCATGTATGCACCCTGTCTTCTTAACTTTAATGCTCATCAACACCACATTAGCTGCAAACCACGTGGAGGTAATTGCCTTTCCATTTAAAGTATAACAAGTTAACCTCTGACAAAAAGACAGCATTTTCTGACTTAAAATAACTAATTTTATAACTTGGTGATGATTAAATGAGGTGACAAGTGTGTGCGAATCCAGGAAGGAACTAATATAATATGATATTTGGTTTCAGAGGAAAAATACTATGCATATGTGCAACTAATCACTTTGTTTCAAATTAAGAGGAGCGGGTGATTCTCAGTAACTCCATCTGCTCACTCTTAACCTGATGTAAAAATGAGTGGAACTGGGGCAGTTTAGCTTTCTTTCACTGAGGGCTGCATGCAGTAGTTACTGCTGGGTAAGAGTGGGTGGATAGGTGCCATACATTGGCTGCTCTGTGCTAACTTTCCCTCCTTCTCCATTTTAACTTGTTGCAATCTTGCAAACACATCAGTTAGGCCTCTGAGTGTAACATATTGATTAAGTCTCATAACACTTTTTTTAACATATGGGTGGGGTGCGGTATAAAGATGCAAGTGACTGGTTGAAGGGCATGTGGCAAGTCTAATGCAGAGCCAGGAGTAGATCGCAAGAGTTCTGGCTCCAAATCCCCAGCTCTAACTAGCTGACCACATTACCTACTAACAATATGTGTAACCTCAAAGCTAAGTACTTTCTGTTGCACTAGAACAAAAGTGTTGTACAGTTCTTTCACTTAACTTTAATTTCTGTATTAGAATGGTGGGTTTATATACGCACCTTTGGGCTCGTACAAGAGAATATGAGCACACCGTTTGTCTGATTCAGCTTTCTAGTAAAGGAAATTTTGGCATTTCCAATCTTTTCTTTAAGGATTTGCTGCAGCCTAGTTATAAATAATTTGTGACAGCATTATATGAATGTGTGTGCTTCCATTTATTTATGCAAAATAAGTTATCAATGTAAAAAAACAGTACCGCCAAACTTTTGTTGAGAATCAGGTCAGGCCTCCAAAAATCATGTAGTTGTCTTAAATGTCATGGGGTAGGTTGGTCCCCATAGTTTATATTTCTATTTGCCCTCTCATTTTTAAGCCTTTGGGTAACTCTTAGGACACACTTGTCAGATCTTTTCCATAACCATAGAAATTTAATTGAAAAAAAAAAAAAGAAAACTCTGATTCTTCTAAAGTAACATGTTCCTAGCGTCAGGGCTGTAGGGAGCCAGGTGGTAACGGGTCCTTATGAAAACTCCCTCCTTTATGTGCCTCATACAGAGGGCATTTCCATTTGCTTTGCTGATCATGAGAAAGAAGAGGACTGTTCCTTTTTTAAAAGACAGGTACCTCAGGGTTGTACAGGTAGGTTGGAGAGCTGGTCCCAGGTGATGGATAGGTTGAGGCATCCTGTCTGTTCACATGAGAACCCATGGAGGATTGTAGTCCTCTCTGAAGTTCCACGGTGATGGATGCCAGTTGCCCAGCAGACTTCTCCATGAGGATTTATCATCCAAAATTAGGCATCTACTAGCAAACCAAACCAGTTTTAATATCTGTACTGAGAACTGAATTGTTGCTAGTGATCCTTGGCTCTGGAATGACACGAGGCAGACAAAATCACGCTTTCTCTGATCCCATCTTTAAGTCATCCTAGAAACTTCCTTTTGAAAACAGTGCTGCTTTGTTGTGTTTTTTTAAAGATTTGAACTGAAATCAGGATCAATGACATCAAGCTCTGTTACATACCTGATAGTACTACTGATAACCATCCTTTGCAGTTTTATGTATTGAAGTTCAGGTTTAAGTTCTGATGGTTTTGGGTTTTTTTTTTAATAGAAACTTGTATTTCTAGCTTCTTTTTAAAATACTCTATGAAATATTTGACTATATTACTTTATAATGCAGAAAAGCAGCTGTTTACAAGCTTATAATGATCCCTGTAAAATTGAAAATCACTAAATTGAAATGAAGTTTCAATGTTTTTATTCAAAGCAGCTTCTCACAATGTATAAATACTGCATATTAACACACATGAAAAATACAACTTCTAAGGCACCCAGAAATGTGTCCATACACTAGTTACAGGACCATCAACAAATATATTGTGTACAATTTGATCTAGACAGTCAATATTTGATATATCAGAAGATACAAGTCCCTCAGTACTGTACCAGTTTCAGAAAATATTTACAACACTGTGATAAAGGGGTGCCTTGTACCCTTATAATAGTATATTATGTATTCATCATTACAAATATTAGAAAGTGTTTTAGACAGTTCCATGACGTTTGGACAAAATAACTTAAGGGCCTAATTTGAAGAGTTCTAAGTTCAATTTCTTGTGCAAGTCTGAAGTCAAATAAATGTACATAGACAAATTTTGGGATTTTTTTGGTTCTTTGCTTCATCTCAGAGGTTTGGTAATAAGCCTTACCAATAGACATGCCATCGTAGCTGACCATCACTCATTTTCCAGTAGCTTAGTGGATACATTTTTTCCCCTTACACTTAAAAAGGAAAGAGAATGAAGTATTTGTAGCAGGGAAAGACCATTTGATCTTCACTATAAATGTCAAACTAGTTCACTTGCTAAATAACTAATGCTCTGTTAGAATAATGTAGTTCTTTGGTCCTTTTGTTTTTATGGAAGGCATAATATTTTTATTCACTAGAAATTGAAATCCTGTCAACATGTAGGTACGTTAGTGAATGACTTTCAGTGTAGTATTTAAAGTAGCAGGAAAGAGATTTAATATGGCTTAAAACATATGGTTAATTGGGTAGACACAGATAACACATCCAGGATACTGAGTACTTAAATGTACTATGATTAAGATTGTCTATAAGTCTCTTATGTAAACTTCTTTAGTGTCTCCTAAAGAGTGCTGGCTTTAGCCAGATTTGACTTTTATAGACCCAGCCACGAAAAGCCTGAGATTAACCACTGTGGTTGGGAGCACAAAATGCACAGTTTCTATAGAACAAAGCCCAAAGTGACAAGTCTAACTATGTTGTTCAAAAGAAACAACCCGTATTCTCCTTTTCACAAGAAAAACTTAAGGCCCTGTACTCTGATTTTGCTAACTGTCTTCCAGCAATTACTTGGGGAAGTCCTTTACTACATATGCAAGTATGTAGCTTACAAGATCTCTTGTACCTAATGGTAAGGCTTATTCACAAATGCAATACATTTACAAATTACACTTTAAGCTGTAAAGGCTGGCAAAAATGAAAAAGTAAAAAGACAAAACAAAAAAATCCAACCAAACCTGCCTGTATATCCCTAGCATTAAAAGAGCATTTTATTCTAATGAAAAACTATTGGCACAAAACCAGTATGTCATAGATTAAAAGAACAATTAATAGTAGTGAAAAAGATTGCCTAAAACGCATACCCTAACCTACCACAGAAATATAAAAGTTTATATTCTGAAAATATATACTGTATTAAAGTTTGTAAGCGTATTCATTTAAACAGAAATGTACTGAAGTAGTAAACTAAGCAACACTTATCTACAGCAAAAAATATACATGCAAGACGACACAAAATAAATTGCTAACCTTTAATATCTACAAATGCAAAACTCTAGATTTTTTTAAAGATTGTACAAAACAATTTACACAAGAATAAAATAACATACTTAACAACAAATTGCATTTATAGTCTTAAATACTGTGGATATTAGTAAAGGTACCCAGACAAATATGTACAGTACATCTATGTATCTGAATACCAAATAAAGACAGAAACACAAGAGAGAATCAATTCTGAGCCTTAAATCCTCAAAAAGGAAGCCTTTAAAGTTTGTTGTTAATCTTTTTTTTTCTGACAGGAAAAAAATAAAGATGCCATGGAAAGTAGATTGTGACTGTATAGATATGAATAATTAAAATACTAAATACTGTTAGCACTTGCTTTAATGGAAAAAATAATAATAGAAAACACATTTCAGCCATTGTTTTGTCAAAGAAAATGCTTAGATGCAGATATTTGAAAATTTAGTTGATATGATGCATTTTAAAGGTCAAGAGACTTGAAATTCTTCTTTGTTCTAAAATCTTATATGGTAAAACATACCTTCATGTTGCTGAGAACAATTTTTCTAGAGATATCAGCACAAAAAAAACATAGTATTGAAATTGACTTCCTAATATTTTATGAATGCAGGACTTGGTGTATCTCTCTGGATGGAAGAAAGGTTGGGGGCGGGGGGGGAAGGAAGTTGGGGTATCCTGGTACTTTTCCACTAGGTTTTCCTGACTTCTAAAATCACTGCAAGCCTGATTGTGCAAATACTTCTGCATGTAAGTAACTTGGCTCCCATGCGTAGCCCCACTGAAATCAGTGGGGTTACTCAAGTAAGGGATTCATATGCATACTAAAGTAGTAGGGTGCCAGCACAGGCCATATGCCTAAATTTAATTTTAAACCCGTTTCGGGGCTTTGCTGGAGGCCTGTAGGAGTAAGTAACTTTTAACCTCATAACAAGTGCTATATCATCCATTTGATATTTTACTGAAAAAGTTACTCTTAGGAGTAAATTTTGGAAGGCAAAATTCACTCTTTATTCATGCCGACTATTGCTTTTGAAAGTATTTAAAAGAAATATGGATTAGGGATTAGATTCTGTCCATTTTTTAAGTGGACCTTCAATGGTGTGTTCTGACTTCAGTGTGGACCCGTGCTTAAAATCAATGGTACAGCTGGGCCCTTGGAACATAAACATAACTCAAGGGTGAAAAGTACTTTCCATTTGACTATGCAAAGGGAAACTATGGATGAAGTTTGCTGAAGCCTACAATTTCCTGTACTCAACATCTTGCCAATTTGACAAAGGCTTTGTTGAGACTCTGCATTGTTGAAGATTATGGGGAGAGCGGGGGACTTCTAACAACTTCCTTGTCATGGAGTTCCAAGCCATAATCCATACAGCGCGTTTGGGAACGGAGAGCAAGTGCACAAATCACAAAAGGAACAAACGTGCAAAGTTTCTGCTTCAAGAGGTTTAGATTTGGGCATACGAATATGGCAGTTCACTTGAGAGAACACGCTTATGTTAATTCCTCACTCTCTGCCTACTAGCAACAAGGAAATTAGATAGATCCAGTGTTCGGGAGTCAGTCAACGTCACTGAAACAAAATCAGAATCACAAACGCAATATATCTTGCTTTTGTTGGTTTTTTTGTCGCTTATTGTGGACTGCTTCTCTCGACAGCCATAGGTTCTTGTAACCGGGTGGGAAGGTGGCCAGATGTGGACCGCTGGAAAAGCAAAACAAAACCTCTCTTCTATTCCATTCAAGGCCTAGCACCTTTTTAAGAACTCCTGGCCCCCACCCAGAGGCATCCGGAGCAGTGATAATTTCCCACACCTGAGGAATCGGACAACTAGTCTAAGGCTCATAAGGGTTTGTTTCTACACTTCAGACCAAGAGAGGATGTTTAAACCTGAAGAACAATATGATGCCATGTTAACGGCACCACACACCCTGTTACTAAAGTCCAGCTAACAGGAAAATAGTAAACGTAAATAAAGCATTCTGCTGGCAAGCCCTTCAATGCTCCTCGAGAAGGCAGGAAGTGAAGAGAGACGTGTATGGGACTTGCAATTTCAGCTTCCACTGACTTTTCTGTTTTTTTAACTCTAACAACCTATGATTCTACTTCATACATCTTTGTACAGTTTCACACGAACAGGAACGTACATGGCCGTCATGTCTAGTGCCCACAACATCTTGTGTGTTTGCTTTCTGTTCTTTATTGTCTACACAGCTCGCTGCTAAAAATATACTGGACAGCTTGCACTTTCATGTGATACCATTAATCCAGTCAAGGGAAGTACGGAAATAATATCAATGTGCTCAACAAACAGTTGAATACGAACCCAAAATAAATAAGTTAAATAAGTCCAATGAAGGAAAAAAACTGAACAAACTCCTAGTAGTTTTTGCAAAACTAACTTTACATATTATACATATAAATTATCAGGTTTTCCTCATTACATTGTTAGAACTTTAAAAAAATAATTAAAATATTTCTAAAGTATCACGTTTGGGTCTCTAACATGTTATTTTGACCCAATGTTTAGACTGAGCCCTCAGTGTCAGTACAGATATGTGTTGCAATAGCAAGAATAAGTTAAAAAGGACAGAAAAAAATAATCATTACAGATGGTATGCCTTACTGGGCCAGAATCGTGCTTTTCCGCACATGGAATGTACCCTCCTAACTGGATGAGCATGTGAAGGATGCAGCGCTCAGTAGAGTTTATGTGCGCTGAGCAAGTCTGCCTCCATCTTTGTCACACCAAACCAAACCAAACCAGCCAGAAGCAGCTGTGTAACTTCTCAATTAAACTCACAAGGAAATCGACACAACCAGAAGTATTAAGATACACTTGTCACAAATTCCTCTCAAGGATGCCTTGCTTTTGCTTTTCATACACAGGTAATTTTTCAGCTCTGTTTTACGCTTGAAGCATTTTCTCTCTGAAGTTATACCAGGACCTCAGACTTCATAGATTTTGTCTTGCAAGTAGCTGAATAACGAATCCAGTCCTTTGGAAGAACTCCACAGCTGTTTTAACATCTGACACTCTTTCTCATTCACATCTTCGAGTCCAGATTTCAGGAAGCTCCGCACCAGGCATTTAGACTCTTCTAATACCTACAGTGAAAATATTAGTCAGTGTTTTATTTTAGTTGGCTAAAAGTACTGTGAAGAACAGTATTAGCAGCATGTTCACAGTACTGAATCTTGCAGCTTTCTATAACCAGTATAATCCTCTCCGCATTATATAGAGAAATTGGGCCCAGTACTGAACATCCATAACTCCAGTAAATTGGGATGGGAAGGTGGACTGTTTGTACCCAGCATCTTTGAGACCTCTGGCATTCGTATTTTTATACCAGGGCCAAGATTTTTAAAAAGTAACAATTGCCTTTAGGTAGCTCCATTACTGAAGCTCGAGATGCCTTCAAGAGGCCTAGTTTGCACAAGCACTCTCTGCAAATCCGTCCTCCTTGAGGCACCTCAAATTGGGCACCTATTTTCTGGACACTGGACTTCTGCCAAACTGGAGCATCTCAAATTATTGTTTGTTTTTAAAAATTATGACCCTCTGTTAATGTGTGCTTTTTCGTAAGTTAGATATGAAATCAGAACAGAAATGAAGAGGTGAAGGTCCCCCCCAAACACCTTTATATATTTATTTATCTCCATGTTTAAATCCACAAACCATTTTCTGTTGTAACATGTGGGTACAGCAGGGAAATGGTTGAGAACTGCTGACATAAGGATTTTTTTTCTTATTAGAGGATCTCATTCCAAGTTCTTAATTACACGAGTAGGGTGGCAGGGTGTATTTTTCCAGGATGGTTTCAAAGCCCTTGATTAAAAACTGGTTTAAGCCAAATGAAACATTTCCACGTTACATATTTTATGTACAAAACTTATTTAACTAAAATTGGGATGGGAACGAGTGTTCTTTGCTTCACTGTGCCTTGGAGGAATGGGCTTTAATAGAAGCATTTGTAGAACAATGTTTTCTATGCAGCTCTTTAGTACACCTGAGTCTTTTCTTTCTTTTCAAGAGACACTTTAAAATGTGACTATTATAAACTGCATGGGTATTTTTGTGAATGAGGAAGGGGTCCATGTTATTCAATTTGTTTGTGACCTCAGCCTATTTTGCATCTAGGCACCCAGACGATTAACTTGAATCCTTTTGATGTTTGTAACCTTTCCCACAGGGAGCCTCCCACAGGTAGTCTACACCTTAACACCCGCCTTCAGTCTAACAGACATCTGCAGAGGATGTCACTGGTACTATGCTCAGTCAGTGAAGTAATGAAGAATGCAGGAGGGGCCTTGGGTGTTTTCCAGCTCATATAATACACCCTGTATCACTCTGCTCACATAGGCTGATGCTTGGTGGGTTTCATTCTGAATGTCTTTTATGAGATGCAATCTACGCTTCACTTAATTAAAAACCTTCTGCGCCTCTACTGTGTTTTTTACAACAGGTCTTTTAAGTGAAATCAGGGGAGGCTACGATTGTACCAAAGACAAGCAGTGCAACTAAACCATTAAGTACAAGCGGTTCCGAATGATTTTATTTTGTTAGTGTTGTTTTACCGTGGCCATAATATTCATTACTGCTTTGCATGCCGCATTTTTAAGAACAAAGATACCTGGTACAAGGAAGGGGGCTGTGAAGTGGTATTTATTCACTCAGTCATTATACTCTAATGACAAAACAGGGAGGTAGTAATATCCTGTGGCCAGCCTGTGCTCCTGAGATCCACTTAGGGATCTGCCTTCCCTCCATGGAATGAGAGGCCATTCTCATCCTGACCCCAGCGCACCCTTTGTAGCACTGCAGGGAGGGGGGCTTTGCAGGGTCAGGAACTACAGGAGGTAAAAGAAAGCAGGGTTTGGGCAACTCAGTGGTGGAGCAGATGAGCAGGAGGAGGCCATTCACTGTCCCCTCGGTGGTTCTGCAGAGACCCCCCAGAGCAGTTAAGACCATTTCAGACTCATGCACCCTTTCCTTACAGCCCCCTGCACACTTTCAAAGGCTGTGGTACTGGCAACATGGAAGTACAGGCCTCTTGTGTACCCCCTGGACTGCACGTGGGTCCTCCAGGCTCAGTGATGAGGCTGACCATCCATTCTGTTGTAGGGCAATGAGAAGTGAAACGACTGTCCCTTCCCCTGGAACAAGGAGGACCCCAGGAGGTGTTTGGTGATTGGCACTCAGATTTCCTCGTTAGCCTATCTGGGAGGTATGGCTCCAGCTCCCTGTTCATAACTAGCTGTCTTCGCCTGTTCCCACTGACCTTAGTGATAAACACCTTTTGCCTATTACAGAACAGGATTTCCTTTGATTCTTTAATGGGAGTTGTAATCCAGTCTCAAAGCTGTCAGAGCACTTACCACAGCACTGCAAGATGCCATTTCCTTTACTCGCAGCATCACTTCTTGACTGAAGGTTGTTGGCCAAAATACTTGCGACACGAGTCCTCTGCTGCAGGCTTCCTGTGCTGTTAGCTTTCTCCCACAGAACAACATTTCATTTGCCTGAAAAACCCAAGAGCCACTTGAGATATCTTAGGTGGTGGTTTCCTTATATCTGTCTTCCTTTATACCTGCTGCCTACTGTTTTTTCTTCCTGCATGTCTCCCTATTGAGAAATATTTACAAGAGGCCTGTGGCAGTGATATCTAAATGTTATTCATCCCGAGAACTCTAGATGGGAAAATTTAAAATAGAAATATGCTGATATGCACTGTCAATGTACCATGGTGATTTTGTAAGAGTAGGGTGAAAGAGAACGCCACTAAACTGTGTGAGCAGGTATGCAGTGTGCTGGGGTCACATTCTGCTCTTTATTATATAGGTACAAACTGAGTGACTTTAATGGAAATCTTTTGGATTCGTACCAGCTGGGGAGATGCATGTGGCCTATTTAACATCTACCCATTGTGTGATCCTGGCTTGACACAGAAAGATGTTTCGTATCCTTCTTCCTGAGCTCTATCAAGATGCTTTGTCCCTGCTGTGTCATACTTTGGAAACTGCCACTCTTGCAACCTCTCCTAGGCCCTTCTTGAATGCAGACTTTTGACTACATCGTGGTTTTTAGCAGTGGAAGGCCAACCTTTTATGGAACAAATTAGCCCTACAGCCTCCCTGAGTGCTACCCTGATCCCTTTCTTCTGCCCAATCTGCTCCTGCGCTTCTTGTTGTACGCTCCCTGCTTGCTCTGCTTTCTGCTTCCTGCCCCATCTGCTGCTATGCTGCCTGTTCCATCCCTGATCTGCTGCGTGCCACACACACACTGGTATTTAGTATTGCTAAGGGCAGTTTAGAGGAAGATTCATAAAAACACAACAGAACAGCATGAGATTAAATAGTATTGAACAATGCTAAAGAGTCTTACCAGTGCAACACCCAGGATTTGTGGGAATGTGTATGAGGAGCAGCCAGCAGGCGTGAGTCGGATTGTTGCATATGGTGTCTGAAACCAAGCCTTCTCACTTGCCCAAACGATATCACATAGTGGTAAAATAGAAGCTCCCAACCCAAGAGCAGGGCCGTTGATAGCAACCACAATTGGCTTCTTAAACTGTATAAAAGCTTTTACAAAATCCCTAAAATAAAAAGGGAAGATCTTAAATAGAGTACCATTATTTAGACACATTCATACATTTAAATTCCTGAACATGAAAACAAGGATATACTTCAAATGAACAGAAGAAATGCACTAGCCAGTGTTTATGAGGTCAGAATTTCAGAATATCATCTAATCCCCTCCTGTGCATTTTTTCAGCTAGACAATGTGTTGGCAATTAATTTATCAGAATGCCATGGAATATCAAATAATTTCACCTAATTTAGATTTGCTTTGTGTTGAATAATTGTGATTAATCATGGGTGCTTTTTGCAGTATGGTTTGTTTGGAGATGCTGTTACTTTGGGGGCAATGATGGCTCATCAGTGGGTGATGAGTTTTAGGCTTGCTGGCTTTCAAACTGTTCAAAGGTATCAACATGGATTGAGGTAACTTTGCTTAACTACCTTGATGGAATTCTCTGAACACACGGCAGCATGAAACAGAAGGGAAAATCAGTGGTTGTATTGCTGTGCGCTTATGTTAAAGAAATAACTTAAGGTTGTATATCAAACATTAATAGTAAGGTACTTATACAGAGCCATGGAGTAGGAGGAAAAACAGGGTGATTTATAGGGCAAAGCTGAAGACCAAGAAGCAAAGAGGAACAAAAAATGGGAAAATCTTACAGTGGAAATATAGTAGGCGAGTCATAGCCTAGAGGTCGTTTTTTGTAACTTTCATCTAAATACTACAAATTAAGGTAAATCAAAGTAGATCTCCATGTTGGCCTTTGAAGTAATGGAAAAACGATGATGAACCAGTGTGATCACATGTAAAATGCCTGACTCTTTTGGGTGAACAGACTAGAGCACTGTAAATCCATCAGAAAACAAAGATATTTTTAATAAGTCACCTGCCAGCTAAGAACTGTGATAAGGAATCCGTGCTGAACGGAACAGGCAGTCTGTACACCGATCAGGAAAAATGTGTGGGTGTAATTGTGGGCAAATTATGGGCTCCATAAACCCAGTGCACAGCAGGAGTAAAGAAGGCAAACAAGATACTGAGTTATATTGGTAGAAAGAAAAATACATATCAAATGCAAAACAAAGAGGTGGCACTGTTACTGCACAAGCTGTTTGGTAGATCCTATTTGGACTAGGGTATGGAGCACTTCCACCCTGCCACAGGAAGTACATGATTGTGTTCTGCAAGCTTTTGGATGTGATTGAAGATCTCCCATTGAGAGGTTTCTGTCCAGAGGAGGAGGAAATAAAGGAGAATAGAGTTTGATGTTTGGGCAGGGTAGGGGTACCTGAGGGTAGGGCTGGGGCCTGAAGCAGAGACCTGCTAGAGAATGTGGAAGTAGAAGTGGTTGGGTATGAGGGAAGCCATTTCTCTAGAGGGTGCATGAGGCTGAAAGCAGGAACGTGGAGTTGGGGGAGATGGAAAAGAGAAGGGAAATGTGAGGCTTTTTTAGTGAGGAGGAAACTGTGAATTAGAGGGGGGATGGAACCGTGGAGAGGGGAAGGGGCATTACAAAGAAACCCTGGGGTCAGGAAGATGGGGGGCACTACACAAAGCCCCTTGGAGGATTGGGGAACGGGGAACAAAGCACAGCATGTGGCATGAGGGGAGGTGCAGGGCCACTTGCAGAGAGCCCCTGAAAGAGTGGCATGGGAGGATGGCACCCAGGGACCTTGTGGGTGGTATGAAGCAGTGCGAGGAGCCCCAGGGGTGTGCAGTGTATTGGCCTGCACAGGCTACATAGTTTGCACCCCTGTTGTCCTCCCACCTTACTGTTTGGCCATTGCTACAGCAGCCATTGTTGGTTCAGATGGCTTCTCTAGACCTCCAAAGTATTGCGTGCCCATGGCTCAGATCTGCAAGGCTGCCTGTGCAGTTATTGGGTTAAAAGACCCTGGCTTCTATTCAACGTAGTCTTACAACTGCACTGGATGTTCTAGGGAGGAAAGAAGGGAAGAGGGGAAATGGCATGTCTGGAAGGCTTTGTTTTAACTACAAGAGACGTGAAAATATGGCCACTGTAGGCACCTTTGGGTGCTCTCTGTGGGTGCTGTGGTCTCTCTGATGCATCAGGTCCTACATTATGGAGGAAGCAAGTCTGAATTCTATCACTTGGGGCTGCGATTGGTGCATGAGCTTGTCTGGGACCCAAACAAAGAAACCACAATGTGACAAGAATTGTTTTTCATTTTACAACGACATGAACTGCTCTGAGCTGACACAGGAGTAAGAGCAGAGGGGAATTACCGTGTATTGGGGATGTCCTAATCAATAAGAGTGTCACGGAGCACTAAGGTGCCCCGTGCCTAGAGAGGAGAAACTGCCAGGGAGAGCGAGCCCTGGCAGGCCATAACGAGCCCAGATGAGAGTTGCCAGGGTAACGAGCACAGCTGTGGGTTGCCAGGGCAACTAAGGAGAGCCAGCTGCCTGTAGGAGGCAGTGCCTGACCCTTATAAAGCCCAGGGCTGAGGCCAGGCTGGCAGTTTTCCTGCCAGCAGCCGGAGAGGCAGGAGCTCCCTCAGCCAAGATATGGGAAGAAGCCTGACTTGCAAGTACAGCTCACGATAGCCCTGAGAGGATTGGGCACTATGGTTTAGCCAGGGGGCTTTATGTTTGCGTTACAGCCAGGAGGCTTGAGTTTATGTTCGGCTTACATATTATACCGGAGGTTTGGGTGAGGCTGTAGGGGTTGGAGGAGGCCTCATGGGGGGGGCTCACGGTAAAGTGGGGCCCCCGGCGCCACTGAGGGCGCACTAGGCCCTGAGAGTTGCAGGGCCGAGTTGTGGGGTCAGCTAAGCTCAGAGAGGAGCGGCTGG